TTGATATATTTTTGACGATAAATAAGACGTCATCAATGATGAAAATACAGTGACGGGTGCTAATGACCGTATATTTATAAGAGTTGACCGCCACATTAGCAAAGTTAACGGAGACTAACGGCCAGTGACCAAATTGAACCGTTAACCTAATTTAAGTGACTACAGATGGAATAAAGTAATTATAGTGGCTAGCATGAAATTTACTAGTAATTCAAGTGACCAAACTTGCAATTTAGCCTTTGAATAATATAGTTGTTGGGGGAAAAATAGCTAGGCAAATTGAGGGCTGGCAGTGGCGTAGCCAGGATTTTGAGTAAGGGGTGCCAATTTAAATAAAATAAAATGACTATCAATTTTTTATAGTGACCCACGACGGGTTTTCATATTTTGAAAAGTTTGTAAATTACATTCATCATCCAGACTATCAAGAATGTCGCTCTCAATGTATCCTACCAAAAAATCATTCATGATATCATCACTCATTCAACTCCGAAGAGTGTTCTTCACGTAGTTCATTGCCAAAAATACTCTTTCAACACTTGCAGTGGCGACTGGTAGCAGCAATGCTAACTTCACAAGAAGATACACAGATGGAAATCCCAGATGCCGCTTTGTAGAAACCATCTTACTAGAAAGCTCAGCAATCCCCTTTACTCCAGTGAACCTCTTATCTCTCTTCATCTCATAGATATAACTGTCTAGTTGAGGATCAAGATGTAAGATATTTTGTTCAGAGAACTCATTTGGATAAAAGGTAGAAAGCTTCAACAACTTCTCCTTGTTAAAGTCACCAAATGAATTATCTAGATTCAAGCAAGCAACACAACATAACGACTCAGTGTTAACCTCGTCAAAACGACTGTTAAGCTCATGTAACTGCATATCCACAACTGTATAAAATAACTCCACTTGGTAATGATGTAGATTGGTGATATGTGGAGCATTTCTCCTTGATCTTCCAGTAGGAATGTATAGATCATCCATTCTAGAAATTGGAAGACATTCTTTGTTGCAAAAAGAATTAACACTCTCAAGAAGCGGCTCCCATCCATTATCCCTCATGTCTTGTAACCTGAGTTTTTCCCCATGAACAAAGTGCATAGCATTCACTATATCTTGATCTTTCCTTTGCAATGCTACAGAAAATTCATTAGTGATTGCAAGTACTCCAATCATCATTTTCAAGATGAATGCAAAGTTATAAGTTTGAACTAAATGCTTCACCTTTTGTTGTACCACTGCTCCCCTCTTGTCTGATGACATCCAAACAATCAATAAGTGATGAGAATACCACAGGTAAGTTAAGAAGAGTATCAAATGAGATCCCCAACGAGTATCACAAGGCCTATTAAGACCAACTTACTGATTCATCCTTTGTCCAGTCTCTAGTTCACCACGACATATAGCCTCATCAACTTTGATAGCCTGACTTTCTCTAATGTTGTCCATTCTTTTAGAAGATCCTCCTACCAAATTAATCATACTACCAACAACTTGAAAGAATCCACTGACATCACCTTGTTGTTTAGCAACAGCAACAAGGGTTAACTGAAGCTGATGGGCAAAACAATGGACATAGTAAGCAGATGAATTTTCTGCCAAAATCAAAGTCTTAAGCCCATTGATTTCACCACTCATATTGCTATCCCCCATCATAACCTTGTCCCCTAACTCTTGATAAGCTCAATCCATGTGTGACAAGCATTTATTCAATCTCCATCTTGAGTGTCAAAGCTCTAGTATCTGCAACATGAGAGATTCCCAGAAATCTCTCCATTACCTTTCCTTGCTGGTCTACATAACGCAACACAACAGCCATCTGCTATTTAATTGATGTATCACGAGACTCATCCACCAAAATTGTGAAAAGATATTCTCCAAGGTCACATATGATCTCCTTAGTTGTTTCAACTGCAAGTGCATGAACAATATCCTTTTGAATGTCTGGGGAAGTCATTTGAAGGTTTCTTGGAGCATTTTCCAGCACTACACTTTGGACATTCTCTCTACCACGAGCATAGAACTTCAAAAGCTCAATAAAATTCCCTCTATGCTTTGAAGATTCTGATTCATCATGTCCACGAAGTGCATGACCTTGGCGTACACAATGTCTGATGCAGTCAATTGAAGCTTTCAGACGAGTTCTGTAGTCTATCTTTGCTTGATCTGATTGTTTACACTTTACATAAAGCCACTCCAATGCTTTGTGATTGATTCAACAAGTCTTCACATTTTCTCACGGCCTTGTTATCTTCACTATTGACAAGACCAACATGCTTATCAAAACTCTCTTCTGCCTTGTTCCAATTTCTAAAACCTTCATGAATGAATGAAGCACCTCCACCCTTTTTACCATCACCCATCCTAAACAAATAACAATGCAAGCAATACGCAACATCTTCCGAGATACTGTATTCCAACCAATGATAATTTTTGAACCAAGAAGGTTTAAAGTTCCGAGCCCTTCTCCACATATCTCTAGAAGGAAAATTATGATTCACAGGTTGTCAAGGAACTTTCTGAAGATAATATCTTCTAACCATATCTTGAACATTAGCATGAAAACATGATAGTTGTTGTCCCAAGGCAGGGTCGGCTTTCAAAGAATTCATATCAAGTTCACTTTCTTTAGATGCAAGGCAAGGCCTAGAATGGTTTACCGGAAGTTGTTGTGACAATGATGGTGTAATTATAGTTGAATTAGAATCAACTCCATGTGCATTTGATGCACTACCTTCGTGATCTTGAATCCTTGGGGTTGTCCTAGGCCTTTTTATCACGAACTTATCCATAGTAAGAAATCTGCACATTCAAAATAAACAATGAATTAATTCAACAAACCAAAACTAGAAAGAAAAGCATAACGTGGGGACTGTTGTTTGTTGGCAATTGTTAGCTCTCAAATATGGACGGAATTCATTAGCTTTCATTCCCAAAGTTTGATTTATAGGGACCAAAATTGCAGGCAATTGTTATAGTCTATGCGTTCCATTAACTCGCCATCACGCAGGGTTATTGAGTCTTGACTCTTGACTGCAATCTTGATTAATAAAGAAGGGAAATATCTTCAAAATTGAGAGCAAGGGTCAGAATATCAAACAATACCTTCAGGCTTCAGGCTTCAGAGTTCAGATGATGAGAGTTTCAGTCTTTCAGATATACTCTTCGAAGAAGTTGTTGCCGGCCGACCTCCAAAGGGAAAGAGGAGCGAAGGAAGATGAAGGGTCAAGGGTGGGACTGGGAGAAGCTCGCTTGTTAGGGTTAAATTTTCGTTTACTTCTTGAATAAGCATGTAATTATAAGGTTTTTTTAATTTAATTTACTTATTATTTGTAAACGGTAAATTATATATATGCAATAAAACGTATTAGTGTATCACGTAAGTAATTTTGGTTTAGTGGAAGATGTCAAAGCTAATAGTAAGGGGGTTCCATGTTCAAATCCTAGCTATATCATAAACTAATACCCCTATTTTTTGATGTTCTAGCCTCGACCCAAGGGTGTGCCGTGGAACACCCTACTAACACTGTGTCTCCGCCCCTGGGGGCTGTGAAGAAATTTTTCTAGGGCTAATCTGCAATTTGACAAATAAAAAAAAATTTGGTGGGACGCGCGTGTGGGGTGAATGCACTTCCCCCTACTCCCTTCTTTTTGGCGAGTTTCTTGTCTTCTCTATCCCTTGCAACTGAATTTTTTATTTTAGCACTTCTTGTCTTTTTGTGAGCCAAATTTGACCCCTAAATTCTCAAAATTCCACACTTCCACTTTTTAACACTTATCATTACAGTCCAAAAGTGTCAATATTTGACACTTCAACTTAGGGGTGAACGAAAACACCCGCAAATCGACCCACCCGTCCAACCCGACCCAATCCACCCGTATTTATCGCTAAAATTAAGATTTTGGGTTGGGTGAGGGTTTTCTTTTGTACAACCCACCACTTTTGGGTTGGGTTTGGATTTTGGATTACACAACCCGTCGAACCCGACCTGACCCGTGTTCCAACTATTAGTATGAGTTCGTGTACAAAAAATATTTATGTCGCATATAGCTATACTTATAAGAAAATTAAGATATTTTGCCATGTTTTTCTCCCATGGTCTCCCTAATCTAATGCATTAATCGACTTAAAATTTAGACATAGATTTAATATAACTATGATTCACGTAATCCTTTTTCTTGTGTACAATTTTAATAGAATAATATATTATGGATGCGTTTGTTTATAACCTATTTAGCCTATTTAAACAAATATTGTGAAAAAAATAGACATATGTTGAAGTAAATTATATTTTATTAAAATTCAAACAACATTTGTGAATTTCGATACCTTTCACCTTGGTTTATTCGTTTGAAATTTTAATTTGTTATAAAAATATTTTTATGGTGTAGAATAATTACATATTTTGTGTTGGGTTGGGATTTTACTTAAAATTATCGCCAACCCGACCCAACCCAATTGAAAACAAACCGTAGGGTTTTAATTTGTTTGGTTGGGTTTGGGTTTAATATTTTCCAAACCGTAGTGCATGGATAGAGTGATTAAAATGGCTAAATCCGGACCACCCGACCCATGTACACCCTACTTCAACCGTGCCATTCTAGGTGGTCTAAGGAGTAAGGAAGAAGGGGGAAGAGAGGTGGGGCCAAATTGGTGGGGGAAATGTGATGGTGGAGCTAGGGAGACATGAAAGATGAGGAGGGATGTGTGGGGTCGGAGTGATGATTTGTTTTGATTTTTAATTTTTTGTTATATTAATAAATATTATTATATTAAAATTTAAAATTTATACCTTTATTTACACTCTCCTGCTTTTTTCTCAAACAATAATATGCACCCTAATTTGCACCCCTTCTAACTTATTTCCGGCTCGAATTTGCATACGCCTTGAATTTGCAATGAGGAGGGACAATATGCAGTTGGATGAAAGGATTATTACTAGATTAGAGTGCATTTGCATCCCGTTGCCCACTTGCCCTAAAGAACAAAACAAAGCATGCGAATCGTTTTTATATTCTTGAAATCACGAATCTCAGTGAGGCGTGAATTTGACCGGTCCTTTTCTTCTTGATCGAATTGACAGTGGGACTCGGAGAGTAAAAAGACAAATCCGCTTTTTGTATTTTAGCTCGGAAAAGGCCACTTCTTGACTGCTATTTAACTTTTTGTTTGAGTGAAAGTATGAATCACCATTCACCAGTCCTTCCATGGCATATTTTGCATTGCATCATTATTATCATCATTTACTTTACCCAGATGTCTTCCATGAAGGCGACCCTGCTATCTACCCACACGTGACAACGTTTCCTCCAGCCCAAGCCCTTCTTACCTATCCTATCAACCGCTCCACCTCCCACGACATCTCTGTTTCTTCTCAACCATTTTCTCGAGGAAGAAAACAGGGGTTTCTGATCTTTGGTGGGTTTTGTTCCATTTTCTCTGCTTCCTTGGGGTCCGATTCATCTATGATCATCTGCTGCTGCTCTCGTCAACCATTTTGGTTTGTGGGTAAGCCTCCTCTTGAAGAAATATCTGATCTTGTTGTTTGATAGTCATCTGTCCCTTCGCTTTCAGTATTATTGTTAATGGAGTGGGTTGTCAAACTCGTGTATGATTATTGATCATTGGTGAAGCCAATGGCCCTTTCCTAGATCTAATCATTTGGTTTAGACTTGTGGCTGCTTTTTTTTTGTGGCGTTTTCATATTTCTGATCATTATCAAGTTTTGGAGATCTGCTGCAGAATGGGGGTTTCCATTTTGGGTGATTTTGTTCTGATCGTTACAATTAATGGGTACAGTCAAGATTCCTGACCAAATGTATTGTAATCCTAACTCCTTCCTGATAAAATATGTTCCCAGTACCTGATGATATTGATTGACAAGTAGCTGGAGCTACCTTATGGTCCTTTTTTCAGTTTGGCTGTTTGAGGGTTCCCCATAGCCATAAGTAGTTCATCTGCTGCTTGTGCAGCCACGTTTAGGTGCCGTACTTATCAAATTCCTTATGCAGAGTTACTCAGATGCACTATGTATGTCTCTTTCAGCTTAGGAGTTAGGAGTAATATATTGGAGAAGATAAGCTCTTGCACGAGACATGTGCACTGAACTGAAATCACTGTTTACTAATTGTTGCAGCTGGGGTTTGAGCCTGTACATTCCTAGCTGAATTAGATTTCAGCCTGGGAGCTTTATTCTCGTTCCTGTGTGAGAATCTGAATGCACCACAAAATGGTACCGAAACTAGAAGCTATCAAGGGTGGTGGGGGATCCATCAAGGTTGGAGCTACTGGAACAATCAGTGCCCTCATGACAAGGGAGCTCGAGTCCGCCAAACCTTCTCCGCAAACATCAAGTCCTCGAGCTCTTAAGCTTCGAACCGCTTCTGTTTCAGTTCCATGCAGTGTTAGCACCACTCCTAGAAGGCTACAGGCTAAAAAACCAATGGATGAAGCAAGTACCAGTGGCAGCAGAACCCCAGAGACATTGAGGAAGGCTAAACAACAAGCGAAAGGAAGCCATCGAGTGCCGATGCTTGGCTCAGATAATTTGACTCTGGAGAGAACTCCTGTTAGAGAGAAGAGGAGCAATAAGAAGGTGATTAACATAGTTGAAGTTGTGGACATCAAATGTGGTAGCCCTGATGGAGCATGGGCGACCCCTCTAACAAGCAAACTCAAGAAGCTTGGTTTCTCAAAGCTATCCGAGAGTGTCGCCTAGGGAGCTTGTAACTTCTTGGTTTTGGTTTCCAGGTTCTTGTAGTTGAACCCAGACGTGATTTTTGTCTGATACATCAACCATCGAACATATACTCGGCAGTAGCCGGCTGCCTCCTTTCTTTTTCTTCTTTCTTGTTTGTACCACTGATCTGGATTGACTGGTACCAGCAGCAGCCGTCCCAGCAGCACTAGACTGATCCTTGTCCGGGCTTTCTCGGCTGCTTGATTGAAGCTGGCTTAGATACCTGATTTCCTGCAGTATCAGGGACCTAATAGTCCCTTAGCCGATTTCTACCGGATCTTTTGCAGCCATGTCTTCATAAAGCATCTCTCGCTCCAGTGCTGGACTCATAGGTGTTTCTTTCTTGGTCGAAGAGGGTTTGGATATGAAGATGGAAAGAAGTGGTCTAGGAAACTTGTAATGTGAAGTTTAGCCAGCTAGTGGAAATCATGATGTGAATTTTGGCCAACTTGTTGCATTCATGCGGTTTCTACTGGATTTGGTGACAGTCATCAGCTTAACAGGATAACTGCAGTTCCAACTCCATTCAAATCCTTAACAGCTAGCTCAGTTCACTTTCCTGTTACTGTCAAATGTTGGCCAGGAAACATTATTAGTGGTGTCGTGGTGATATGAATTCATAAAATTCTGGTACCTTGGCTGTTTACTTTTCCATGCCTTGAAGGAAGTAGCAAGATAAATGAAAGATGTCACACAAATCCTATAATATTTTTAACCAAGAAGCGACTTCACTTGAATAAAGTTGATTTTACATTTTGCATCTCTTGCATAAAAATTTGTTTAGGTGAGATTTTGGGGTTTTGTTGGTGTGATTTGAAGTAGGGAATGGGAACAAAACCCGAACCCACTGGTACCCTATCCGACCCATTCAGGTCAACGTGGGTAAAACTCGTGTTGACGGGTTATGGGCCGGGTTCGGGGTTTAAACTCGTTCACTATTCATCGGGTTGGGTTTGGGTTTAGCTAAACCAGTTCTATGGGTACCCGTCCACACCCATATAATTAATTTTCCTGGTATATTTAATATTCTAAACAACTAATTTTTTATTATTATTTTTATGGTAACCTGCTTAAGAAGATTATGCAGCACAGTCGGTTACATCATCCAGACTGAGCTGGTCAATTAAGAACATAGGTGGACGATCAAGCCACACTTCTCTACTATCCCATCAAGTGTCACTATGGGCCATTACGTGAGCTGCCTCGTTTGCTTCCCGTCGAGTGTGATGGACCAACTCAACACCCAGATTCGCCCGGCCAAGGTAGTGCTTAATGGTTCTGCATATTACTCCAACTTCATTGACTACAGGAGTCTCATCACGTAGGTAGTTAACCACATGTAGGCAGTCCGTTTCCAGCAGAATTCGCGTAATCCCCAGCTGCCTGGCTAGCTGTACTCCAAATTCTGCAGCGAGAGAGAGCCTAAGCCATTTCAACGCTATGCATCCCTCGAACTTTTTTTGTCGCCGCTGCTATGAAGCGACCATGGTGGTCGCGAAGAACAGCCCCGAGACCAGCTCCTTCTCCTTCGGGCAGTAGACCAACATCGGTATTAACTTTTGTCCACCCTGTTGGCGGCCGTTCCCATTTGGCTGGCTGGTTGTCTTCTATGACTTCATCTCGCTGGTTACATTGATATTCATGGAGGAACGCCGAAGCTCGCATCGCAACTTCATCTTCCGGCCACTTATGTATGTTGAAACATTGAGCATTTCGTTCATTCCATAGAGCCCACAAGAACGTTGCCCATTCCTCAAAAACTTCTCTCGGCTGCTCCTTAGCTACCTTTGACACCCATGTCAAACAGTCCATTGTATCCGGGACTTCAAACACTGCCGCTAGAGGTGAGGCTCGCCAAATTCTAGAGCTCCAACTGCATTCTCGAAATCGGTGGATCTGGGTTTCCGGCTGGTTACAGTAGGGGCATATGTCACTCCGCCGTTCATTATGAGCACTAATCTTCTAACCTGTAGGTAGAACTTCTCTGGCGAATCGCCATAGGAACTGCCTCAGCTTTGGTGGAACGTTCAACGCCCAAACCTGCTTCCATATTTCTTTACTACCCCTAGTTTGGATTCCTGCCTCGGCCATGTAATCTTCCAGCCACTAAAGATAACCATCTTTCACAATATATGTACCTCGATCATTATGGTGCCAAATGAGCTGGTCCTGTACCTCTCGCCCACGTAAGGGAATATTGAGGATCGTGCGAGCTATTTCCTGGGGGAAACATCTCGCCAACAAAGCCGCATCCCATTGGTCAGTCTCCGGCTCTACGAGATCACGAACATATGCATCGACAGGAAGCTCCCTTGGGGCCGAAGTGACAAAAGTATTCGGCCCTTCCGACAGCCAACGGTCGCCCCAGATTCTCACTTACGCTCCGTTAACAATCCGCCATCGGAGACCCTTACATAAGGACTCTTGTGCCCCCATCAAGCTTCTCCAGATGTAACTCGGTCGGTACCCAATATTTGCTTCCAGTATCGATCAGTGCTTATGGTACTTAGCCTTGAGGATTCTTGCTATCAACGAGGGTCTTTGACTAAGGGACCAGAGCTGTTTTGCCAGAAACGCCATATTAAAGCCCTTCATAAGCCCATACCCCCATCTTCCTTCAGCATCACTAGTTCTTCCCTGCGCAGCCAGTGTGCCCGCCGCTCACTCCCTTTCTGTCCCCACCAAAAGTTGATGATTAACCGATGCACCTCATCCAGGATCCCGTCCGGAAGTTTAAAGACGGACATAGCGTACGTTAGCTGGGCTTGTGCTACGGATTTAATCAACACTTCACGTGCTGCCGTCGACATCGACCTCTCCTTCCACCCCTTCAGTTTCTGGTGCACCCTCTCTTTAAGACCCTCGAAAAGTGATTTTTTGGATCTTCCCACTTCAGTCACCAGGCCTAGATACTTGTCCTGCTTCTCCACAATCTTCATCTCTAAAGTTCCACCCACAACTAGTCTGTTGTGCAGTTTAACGTTAGCTCCAAACAATACTTATGACTTCTGGAAATTGACAAGTTGCCCTGATTCTCGTGCATAGGCCTGTAGAATGCTTTTCAATTCCAGGCTCTCCTACTGCGTTGCCCTGGCAAAAAAGATACTATCGTCAGCGAAAAAGAGATGGGTAATTGACTCACTCCTACTGTCACTCTAAAAATTGGCCAAGTGTAAGCACTTCCTAAAGTGTAGTATAGCGGGTTTGGGTTTTAATGTCAACCCGGGTCCTAGATTTGATGACTACCCGTTGAATTCTTGTTATCTAGCAATGAAATTTTAGTGCAAGTCCAAATTAACAAACAAACAAAGCAAGTTAAACGGTTGTTTTCAAGTCGAGAGAGGTCACCCGGATATGGTTCCCCCTAGACTGCAGTTAAGCCGGATTGCAATTTACCAAGTTCAGTTTCCATGAAAGTTATACTGCAGAAGGTTCTTAAACAGTCTGAAGTCTCGACTAAAGGTCTCCAGACCCTCTCAATCTGAGTCTCCAGCGGTCGACTAACCTCCACCAGAGTAAACAGATTGAGGTCCTAACGAACCAAACCTCCACTACCGAATTGAATTCGGTACAGAATAGCGAATTGGATCATCGACTAAAGTCACCAATTCGCCACCTTCAATTATGGGTGCTCTATCAACCTAGGCAGATATTCTCATTCTAGGTTAAAGCAGAAACAACAAGAATTTGATCAGGATTCAAGTCATTCAATCATTCAAGCCTCAATCGAATATAATCAACTCATGAAATCTGTACTTGGGTTCATACAATCAGACCTAACATACAAATCTAGGGTTCTCCATACCCATATGAATGGGAGAACTACTCCATGGAGAAAGAAGCAAAAGCAGATTTAGATGCGGAAACCATACTGTGAAGGATGGATTTCTGCTCCTGGTTATCGATCGGCACTTCTCCAAGCTCAAGCCGGGCTCAATGGTGATGAAGATCAAGCTATGGCACTTGGGAACTCTGGTTCGTCGCTTTCTCTCTCTAGGAATTGCTCTGTCTCTCTAAAACTCAGAACCCTTGATTTTTGGCCTTCTTTTCCTTTAAAACTGCTGCCTGTCGCGATACCCGATCGAAATACCCGGTCGGATATTTTGGCTCTCGACCGGGTATAATTGAAACACGCGTTTTGCCTCAGGGAAATATCCCCGGTCTAGGCCAATAATCCCCGGTCGGGGATTTTTGCCTCCAGCCTAGGCCCCCCTCTGTTTCTCACGGGTGCCAAAACAATAAATACCCGGTCGGGTATTTGAGCCCATGACCGGGTATTTTCCTCCTGCAGCACACTTCGACCCAACTTCGCTCCTTTCGACCCACAACTCGTTTCTTCGCCTCGATTCCAATGCCAGGCCCTGAAATATGACATAAACGCACAACCTCGAGTGAAATCGGCTTAAAACACGAGAGTCAACCTCTCAAACGGATCAAGAATAGGGGTAAAAATAGGTGTAATTATTGGTCTATCAAACTCCCCCACACTTAACCGTTTGCTTGTCCCCAAGCAAACCTAACTCAAACAATGCAACTCTCCAGACCTCTATAGCAACCAACAACCCCGATCATAGGTAGAGGATTTCCTAGATCATTTAGCAGCTTACGAGGTCAACCAACGCACAAGTCATCTCATAGCTTCTTCGGCGAGAGCGCTAGTCTCGAGTCGGCATCATGGCAAATAGTGAACAGAGGACAAATGAATCGTGGACGAATGGACTCTCAAAAACAAAAGATCATAGACTCACCTTTTTAAGGTGCTCTATTTTCTTCTTGAAGATGGTTGGAACCCCTTTTCTTTCTTTTTTGCTTGTTTTCTGTATTTTTCTTTTTTTTTCTTTCAAGGGTCCCAACCTGCTTTTCAGAAAATGGGGGCTCCCACCTAGCAGAGGTGTTGCGGGAGCCCAGCTCTTACCGGCCATGCCAGGAGCGGATGTCTCGAGAATCGTGCGGGGGAAAGACATGTAAGGGGGCTGGAGGTAGTAGGTGGAAATTGGGAACGGATTCCCGTCTCCCCTTACACACTTTCTCCCTATTCGCACGGGAGACGTTATTTTAAAGCACATTTTCGAGTACCTTTTATTTCAAAAACATGATACAGGAGTCCATGACAGGTAGAGAGTCAACATCACCACACAATTCAAGAGTCCTAAGATCACTAATTCACACAATCAACCAACACAATATGAAGAAGAAAGGAGACTTCTTAAATGCATCAACATCCTCCATAGTGCTACACTACCTCCCTAGGTTGCACATTAATATAGAGACTGTCAATTCAAAGCATACTGAGCAGGCAATTGCAAGGAACACGTACTTGGAGCCCTCAAATTTAAAAATTTGGACAGTGGACTAGGCTCCAAGCACACAAACAGATCTAACGTGGTCAAAAGATAAACATCCCGCCCACACTTAAGATCGACATTGCCCTTAATGGAGAAGAGGGAAGGAAAAGGGGAACGATGTTACCGGTGTGCACGGACTATAGGAGACTGGAAGCGGACCAGTCGGAGTGAAGCGGACTGGAGAGAGGACCAGTCAAGAATAAGCACAACTAAAGGAAACCAAAGAGCTCAAACACAATACGTTAGGTCCAATGGCAGCCTAATAGTACAACATCCAAAATAAAAATGGAGAAACTAAACCGACACAAGACAGTTTGCATGCTGACAAAAACAAAAACACTCAAAACATGCCACTAGGGCCCTCCTAGACCGGTGAAGTCGATCTGGTTCATGAGGTCGTCGTCTCCATC